AGCTGAGTCAAAATTATAGAATCAGAATGGGATGGGATGGGGGCAGAAGGCCATCCAGTCCACCTCCCTGCTCAGTGCAGGATTTCCACTAAAGCATCTCTGTCCCACTGCCCCTTGAATATCTCCAGTGTGGGAGAGCCCACCACCTCCCTACGTCATGGGTTCCCTTGCAGTACTGCTCGTAACAGTCCAGGCGTTCTTCCTGATGTACGGCCAGAATCTGGCCTCCTGTAACTTTAGTCCATTATTCCATGTCCTGCACTCTGGAATGATTGACAAGAGATCCTGGCCTTCCTCTTTGTGACAGCCTTTTAAGCAGTATAAATATCCCCAGTTCTTTCGCTCTTTCCTCAGAGGGCTTTGTTTCCAGCCTCTTGACAATTTTTGTTGCCCTCCTCTGAATCTTTTCTGGTATGTTTACACCTTCCCTAAACTGTGGTTCCCAGAACTGGGCACAGCTCATGATGAGGCCCCATCAGTGCTGAGTAAACGTCATGTAATTAGAAACTGATACTTCTGTGAAAGCGTCCCAAAATAACCTTTGCCATTTTTGCAGCTGCAGCATTCATAACCACAATTCTGAGATCCTTTTTGCTTCTAATATTGTTGAGCCAAACTTCCTCCATCTTGTAATTATGCACTTGTTTTCATTTTTCCTAGGCACAGAACTTTTATTTTTGTCCCTCTAATGTCATTCTGTTGTTTTCAGCCCAGCATTCCACTTTGAATCTTGTTTGTTTTCCAGGGCATTAGCTATCCCACTCAATTATGTGTCTTCTGCAAATTTGATAAGTGTTCCCATGACTTCCTCATCTGAATCATTAATAAAAATCTTGAAGAGCACTGGGCCCAGGACTGAACCCTGGGGTACCCCGCTCATTTCATTTTCCCAATTAAAGAAGGTGCTCTTTGTGTCTGATTCTGCAGCCACAGTGGATCCACCTGATTGTTGTTCCACCTAGCCCATCTTTTGCTAGTTTGCTAATCAGGATATCATGGAGCACTTTGTCAAACTCTTTTCTAAAGTCATGATATGTTATGGCCACATCAACCCCACAGTTCACCAGGGAGGTTACCCAATCAAAAAATAAAATCAGATTAGTTTGGCAGGGTTTCTTCTTAATCCATGCTGACTTCTAGTAACCACTGTATTATTTTCAGCATGTTTGAAAATGGGCTGTTTAATGATAGGCTCCAGAATTTTCCCAGGGACTGATGCAAGACTGACTGGGATGGAGTTCCTAGAGTTTTCCTTTAACTTTTTTGACAGTAGGGACATTAACCTTCCTCCAAGTCATCCGGCACTTCACCCATCTTCCATGATTTCTCAGTGATAAGAGGTTCTTCTGCCAGTTCCTTTATTTCTCGGGGATGAAGCTCAGCAGGCCCTAGAGGTCTGAACTCAGAGTACTGAGACACCCCTTGGCCATTTGACTACCAATCTCAAGCTGCCATCCTACCTCTTGTACTTCGCTTTTGCCATTCCATGCTGACAGGTGGGAAATACCCTGGTTCCATGTACTTCCTTTTATGGGCTTTTTTCACTGTTTCTTAAGGCATGTGTATCAACTTTACTGTCTGACGAGCTTTGCTTTTTTATTTGTTCTGTATGGGTTCATGTTGTCCTGAAGCTTAGGGTTTTTCCAAAATAGCTTTCAGTTCAAGATCTCAAGAAACTACATTAGAGAGAGGCACTTCAGCTGCCTCTCTGATAAAAGAGAAATAGAATTAGCCTGGTATACATTCAGATCTTCAATCTTCCAGCTGACAGCAGAGTAAAGCATTAAGCTGCAGGTTGTTTTGGTTGGATGCCTGAATTTTGCATACTTTGCATCCCTGTATCTTTAGGTTTCCAGTAGTAGCCATGGGGGTACTGAAATGGGTCGACTGGACAGTGTCAGAGCCACGATATTTCCAGCTTCAGACTGATCATACTCCAGTGCACTTGGCATTATTGGATGAGGTGAGACCAGGCCTCTCTGTATTGGTGCTACGATAAGATCAAGGTGTAACTTGATATTAAAAGGAAAGATAGGAGGGAAAGAGACTGAAAACATGATTTCTGTACTTTATTCTGGTTCTTCTGGTCACGGAGAAGGGCAAAGAATTACACAGGACATCAGTGCTCCTCCATCTCCCTGACCACAAGACCTCTCCCTCCAGCTACCCCTGCAGTGAAAGTTGAGGTTCTTCAGGGACCTGAGATGCATTTGGAGTCCATTCCAAGTAGGGCCTTTAGGGCACAATCTTACTGTGAAGTTCATAAGACCCTACGAGCAGCTCATGGCAGGAGAAGAGGTGCAGGCAATCTTTGCCTCCCTCCTGCCCTGCACAGGAATTTTTTATTTTTATTTTATTTTTGCCTGTGTAGCAAAAGCATTTTAAACAGAGAGGAAGGCAGGCTGGAGAAGTGTCAGGATGACTTAAATCCTGCCCTCTCCAGGCTCCTTTCCTCACTAGCCACCAAAATGCTCTCCCTTTCCACACCCCACTCAGGTGTTCTCTGAACCTCAGAGGTGAGCTGGCATGGTTCTTTCTGTGCCACCTAAATGGGGGGAGATGCTCGGTTTTGGGTGACCACTAAAAATATTTGTATTCAAACAAGCTTTAGTTGAACATGGGGTGAATGGTTTAACATTGGTGGAACGACCAGCCAATGTTTTATTGATATAACCTGATTTTAAAAGGCTTTTATTTTTGTACTTGGATTCTTTTTTTTTACTGCCGTTCACCTGGGAATTTCTTTTAGATATAGTGTTTTATAAGTCCTGTAAATAAAATTTGTTAGGTGCTGCATGAGCATTCTTGATAGAGTCAGATAAACTGGACCTAATACCACATTCTGCCCTTGTTTGGTGCTTGTGCAAAATTGTGAAATATGCAGGACACTGCCTAAGATTTATGGCAGTGCAAAGGACTTTGATGAAAACCGTGTGTTAGGTTTCAGACAATTGTTAAACAAGCAGTTTGTTGCCGTCCTCTGCTCCCTGATTTTCATGCCGCTAGTGCTTAACATTACAGAAGCAATATCTACTGAACAGCTGAGAAACATAACACATAGAAACTGTTTCCATCAAGCACTACCTGGAAACAGCATTGCCATGAGCTGGACTTTGTTGATTTGTGCAGCAAGATATGGGGTAGGATGGACTGCACCATAGCATATCAAACTGTGGAAGTAATTTTTCAATACTTCCTATATTTAAAAAATGTCTCTCTGAAAAGTGAACCATCTCAGTGTGTAAAAGGGCTGGGGTGGTTTTTTATTTGCAAAGAGTTATTTTTTATTTAGGGGAGCATTTGAAACTGGCATGCCCTCCCTACAGACTGAATGGTGTTAGTTCTTCTGGTTCCTTCTGTTAGACCCAGCTTTTGTGTTTCAGGACTTTCTTCTGCCCGTTTAGTCAGTAATGCTTAAAACTGAGATCACTGGCAGGAATACATTTTCTTTTTCTTATGGATGTGTGTGTCAAAAGCATATGTCACCTCAGTGGGCTTTGTGTGCGCGCGCAGGTTAAGAGATGTGCAAGAGATTTTGCATTTGTCGCCTTGTGTTTGCAGATCAGCACGTGCCATCAGCTGCTCCATCCTCTGGTCTTGCAGCTTCTTGTCAAACTCTTTGAGACGGAGCACTCCCAGCTTGACGTCATGGAGCAGGTGATGAAAATGCAAGGTTTTGCATTGGGCTGGGTCTTTCTCTGCTTTTTACTTGTGTGTTGCAAAAGTGAGGTGGCTGGACTGCAGTACATTTTCCTGTTGAATCCAGGGAGCTGCCATTTTGAGAAGCTGCTGAAATGCCTTGACTTTTGTACAGCTACAGTTCCAGCAGGGGGAGGGCTGGAAATCCTTGAGTGACGCCACTCTGGTTAGCATTGCCATACCCTTGAGATTTAGAACGCTCCATTATGGGGAGTCTTCAGTTTCTCAGAATTCAGCAGGAGAATGCAGAACAGAGTGCAGAATTATTGTAGAAAATGCCTAGAGCTTTCTTATTAGAATTCTAGTTTTGCACAGAAAGATGGTCTGAGACATCCTTGCATGCTGACCCTTCTCAAGTAACATGTTTCCAAATGCGGTCGACATCGATGGATCATCTTTTGCTCCTGGGCCTCACAGTTTAGGACCAGATGAAACTACTCAGTGGGTGGGGCAGAGAGGAGAGAGATTTGGCCAGGGGCTGCCAGCTGCTGATTCAGACTGCAGAAAATCAAGCAAGAACATCCACTGTTTAACAGTGCCAGCTAGGGTGTTTAGTGAGGATTGGAATCAATACTTGAGACCATACAAGTAGACTTGAAATTCAGCATCTCTGTCTGAAAGCTCCTGACTGGTGAAATTGCCTAGCTGTCTTGCAATTGAGGGAAGAACTCTGCATGTGCTTAGAAGCAGTGCACCACAGTCTGTCTAAAAAATGCAGCACTGTAGAGTTCCCACTGCTGCAAAGTACCTGAGAGCTAGGAGTCCAGACACGCTTTTTAAAACCTTTTAAAAGGTTAATGATCCATGCTATTGACTCTTCCTCATTGTGGTCTCTGTGCATCACGCATACGGGTGCTGCGCCTGCACAATGCCTGTATTCTTTGAGGATGCTTCTGGAGATGGAGAATACATGTATGGGTTTTGGTCCTTTGTTCTGAGACATCCTCCTGCACATGGGATGGGCGGACAGGGACTGGGAGCTGTCTCCTCCAGATGGAATTCAGCGATGGCTTCTCAATTACGCATCAAGCTCTGCTGATGAACTGCTCCGTTTTTGCTCCCACGCAAGACCTGCTACCTTCACTGGTGTCAGAAATTACACTTAGGGCTGAATTCTAGGTATATTTAGACAAAAAAGTCCTACATTTCCTAGCACTCCTAGGCTGGCTGGGGAGTGTTGGGAATGACAGGACTTTTTCTGTCTAAACTCACATAGCATTGTGCTCCTGAGTAATATCTAATGTATAGCCCAGCACTGTAGTTGTTTCTATAGAGCTACATGGGCATGATTTTTCTGGCTTTCAAAATGCAATGCCTGGATTGGCAGTAGACTCAGTGCTGGTAACTAAACAGAGCCTTCCTGTTCTTAGGTGGGGTTCTGCCTAAGAGTCAGGAAGTTAGAGTAAAGGGAAGTGGTCTCTGTCATGGGCTTCTCTTCGCTTCTCAGGAAGGAATGGGGAAGGCAGACTCCCAGAGAAGTGACTCCGTAATCCACTTTGCTAGAGAAATAAAATAAAAATGAAAGCGAGGTGCTGCTGCAGGCAGTTGGCAAGGCTTTGCTTTTTTTCTTTAGGTCCAGAGCAAGGAGGGAGCTGCAAAGATGCTGCTCAGCCCCAGGCAAATGGAGCTGCTCTTTGAACCTGCGGAGCCTCATTCAGGGACCCCTGTGTGAATCAGAACCGGGAGGCAGGGGTGGGGCTGAACTGCCCTCGCCTTGCTCTGATTCACAGAATCCTAGAATGATAAAGTTGGAAGGAGCCAAGGAAGCCATCAGGGCCACCCTCCAGCTCAGTGCAGGGCGCCCATGTCAACCCCTCCCTCTCAGGTGACTGTGGCTGCTTCTTGAATGCCTCCAGTGTGGAAGAGCCCACGACCTCTCTAGGCAATTGGTCCCATTGTTGTCTTGCTCTCACAATCAGGAAGTTCTTCGGCCAGGCAGTTCTTTCCATCTTAACATAACCCTTCTATTAGAAGGGCTTGGTTGCAAAACTACTAATCCCAGTGACATAGTCCTAGGAAGTTGCATGGCTGAGTGATGGCACTCTTTAACCATCAAATCTCTTACTGTGTTGTCTGTTCCTTCAGCTCGAGCTTAAAAAAACCCTTCTGGACAGGATGGTGCACTTGCTGAGTCGTGGCTATGTCCTTCCAGTGGTTGGCTATATTCGCAAGTGCCTTGAGAAACTGGACACAGACATTTCTCTGATCAGATACTTCGTGACTGAGGTCAGTGACTCCCTGGGCCACTGCAGCTGAAGAAGCTGGGTTTGTGCAAGTTGATTTGCACTGGCTCCTTAGAGCAGGTATCTTAATTGTGTAGTGGACACACCTAAATATTAACACAATTGGTATCAAATGCCTATTTCTGGGGAGGGAAGTCTGCAACAAGGGTGCCACCACACAGAACACCTTTTCTGTAGTCACCACCCAGGTAAGGAAGGCTGTTGAAGGAGGACTTCCAAGGCTTACCTTAAAAAAATCAGGGTTAAAACCAGGACATAGAATTGCACCTGGAGGCAAACCAGAAGCCAGTGAATCTTTTCTAGCTCAGGAAAAATATGCTCAGACCAGCAAGCTCCAGTTCATCTTGGCAGCTGTTTAAGACCTTGGCTGGACCTTCTGAATGTTCTTCAGAAGCAACCCCAAACATGTCACATTATGGTAATCTAGCTGCATATCACTACCTGGCAGAGCTAATCATTAAAGAACGTCAAGGTGCACAGATGTTGCACAGTACTGAAAGGAAAATATTCCAAATGGTGTAAAATATTTTTTCAAGGATCCTAGTGCATTTTAAATGTCAGATTATCACAGGAATATATTTTTTATACAAACACAGGCCTACTGCAGTCATTGTGCATTCTCTCTTACCCTACTTCTAAATGTTGTAACTCATTGAATAAATTTTTATTTATTTCTAGATAATTAGATCCAATTCATAAATACTTTGGAATCTATTGATTCTGCTAGGTTTTTGGTTGCCAAAAATTGGAGAAGCAATGCTGTATCCACTTTGAAAATATGTTTGTTTGAAGTGTTTAAGATGGCAGAGATGAGTAAGTTAACAGTGTGTTTGCTTGAGAGAGATAGTCAAGATTGTCTATGTTTCTAATGTCTGGTGCCCTTTTATTGACTTCATGGGAGACAGATAATATTTGGTCATTATAAGACTCTTCTAAGTCGTACTTCTTCCTCTTTCTGATCCTATGTTGTATAATTATCATGCTGTTTCCATTTTCTTTGTCTACTATTACAACATGTGTGCTGGCTTACATATTGTAGGAATGTGGGGTGATACAGATGAAGGTGTTTCTGTATGAATGTTGCATTTGTTTATAACACATTTTCCATATAACTCACCTTCTTTCTGGGCATGTAAATTCTCTAAGAATTCTCATTGCTTTGAAAGGATAAAACTCAAAATATATAGGGGATCTCTGAAAGATTGCATGTTTTGCACCACTCTGGACATTCCCAGTTTTATCATTGTGTCTGTGCTTGCAGGTGTCAACTTTCTGTGTTACTTCATGGACTTCCTATCCTAAACTGCACTTTTCTCCACATTGCCTGAAACATCCTCCTTTCTGTAAACAACCAATATTCAGTGTTGCACAAGTGTGTAAGATGCTCTGATCTCAGAGATCAGGAAAAAATGTACCAACTGGTATCCTTATAGCTTGGAAACCCACAGTCTTTTTTATGTGACATCTCCTCAGGTGCTTGACGTGATTGCTCCTCCATATACCTCTGACTTTGTGCAGCTTTTTCTTCCCATCCTGGAGAACGAGAGCATTGCAGGCACTATTAAGACTGAAGGCGAGCATGACCCTGTCACAGAGTTCATAGGTAAAGTCTTTCCTGTGCTATCTCCATTTCCAGTTTTCAGTCAAGTCGCAACATCAGCCCGGCCTAAGAAGTGGCCTTCATCAAAGGCCCTTTGAACAATGCCTTTCATCAGTGCTGAAAGACAGAGGGACATGTTGAAGGATTCCAGCTCTTCAAGGCCTGAGCATGCACTAGGTCACTCCTCAGTCAAGTGTGTGTGTGGGGAGGGGGATGTCAGTTTAAACCTCTGCCTGACAGCCAGCCGTAATGCAAATAATAGGTTAGCACTGATAATCAGGAACTGAAACATCTTAAAGACACATTCTTTGCAGTATAAGTATGTGTAGGCAAGGGCAACCTCACCCGGTCTATGTAGGGGGTGGTGAAGATTTATTAAGACTGGAGAAGGGTCCTTGTAAGCTGAGATTTGAATATGAATGGATACGTATGTCTTTGTCTTTCCAGTGGTTGGGCTATATTTGCAAGTGCAAATGGATTACTTGGACCCATTGAAGTAAAAACAATTTAGACACACAATTGGTTAGTGGGTCAACCTGTCTTTTTTTCTTCTTCTTTAAAGCTCACTGTAAATCGAATTTCATCATGGTCAACTGAACCAGAGAAAAGGTACCCAGTGCTGAAGTCATGGATGATCCTGAATTTGTGTGCTGTAGGACAGGACATCAGAATAAGAAGAAAGAAGAGTGTTTGGGGGTTAACTGGCTTCCAAAATCTAGTTTTACTTCATACGCACACAGATATTTTAATAGTTTGGAGCTAAAGTTTGCCCAGTCTTGAACCTTAAGCATTTGAAAAGGCTACAGGAAAAATGGACTGGGCTTGCCTATGACTCCCCTCAAAAGAACTGTGGTGTTTGGGTAGTAGACCTAAATTAATGTGATGGAACAGCCAGTGTTCTCCCAAGAACAGATGGAGGACTTATTCTTTCAGTATGTGATTCCTATCCTTGTGTAGTCTCTGCAACAGCAGATTACATAGGCAATCTTTGTGACTGACAAGATGATTTGTTTAATCATCAGGTTAGTGTCAGACACGTGTCTGTATGCACTTCTGTTCATGGAAGTCCTGGTGATTCAGTGAGGACGTGGTAACTTGTGACTCAGCTATAGTTGTGCAGTATTGTTTGTTCCCTGCAGAAGACGGTTGTAAATACTTAAGGAAAGAAAGGTTAACTTGCACAGGTTATATACTTGCTCATCACAGATGTTTATGAATTATCACCCATTCTCTGCAGACTTGGATAAAGAAACAAAGGTCATTGGCATTTTTAGAAGGGAAATGGTAACTATGACTTACTGTGCAAAAATAGGTATTTTTGTATTTCTTGAGATGTATAGAACAAATACACAACTAGATAACGTTTCCTAAAACTGCCTTGTCGTTTACCTTTGTAGGATGCAAAAACATCAGGAAGTATGTTAAACTATACTTTTTAATAAATTATCTTTTGGATAAAGGCTATGGCTTGCTTTCCTTGGAGAAAAATATCCCTGTCACATTACATGGTGAACATTGACACTGAGGGAAAAGACTAGATATATGAACCAAAAGAAAATATGATATATTGATACATTTCTTGTCATTAGGTATAGAAAATAAACCACGGATCTACCTTTTGTATAGTTTTACACTAGGGATAATGCAAAATTAATCTCTTGCACCCGCTTTCTATCATGAATAAGGGTGAGAAATGCCTCCTTCAGTATTGTTGGGTTGCAGCTCCTGTCATTCCTTACCATTGGCCATGCTGGCTGTGGCTGATAGAATTTGGACTCCGACCTCACGTGGAGGGCCACAGGTTCCCCAGGAATGCATTTGGAAGTGGTACTATCTTGTTTCTTCTTCATGGTCTCTGGGCAGAACACATAGGAGTTCTGGAACCCATTAACCCGGAAGATCAACTAGCTGAGAGCCATTTGGCAGGCTCCGCTTCCCACCCCAACATTCATTATAAAAGGGAGGAATTCCCACCCTTTCCCTCAGTCCTCTTTCAACTGCCCTTGGTGCCTCAGGAAGTTCTCTTGAGAAACCTGTATGCGGGCCAAGAATCAGCAATGAGAACTGGACATGGAACTACTGATTGGTTCAAAATTGGGAAAGGAGTATGGCAAGGCTGTATATTGTCACCTTGCCTATTTAACTTGTATGCAGAGCACATCATGCAAAAGGCCAGGCTAGATGAATCACAAGTTGGAATTAAGATTGCCGGGAGAAATATCAACAACCTCAGATATACAGATGATGCCACTCTCATGGCAGAAAGTGAAGAGGAGCTAAAGAGCCTCTTGATGCGGGTGAAATCAAAGTGTGCAAAAGTTGGCTTGAAACTCAACATCAAGAAAACATGGCATCCGATCCTATCACCTCCTGACAAATAGATGGAGAAGAAATGGAGGTAGTGACAGATTTTATCTTCCTGGGCTTCAAGATCACCGCAGATGGGGATTGCGGCCAAGAAATTAAAAGACGCTCCTTGGGAGGAAAGCTATGGCAAACCTTGACATCACACTAAAAAGCAGAGACCGCACCCCGCCAACAAAAGTGTGTACAGTTGAGGCTATGGTTTTCCCAGTTGCAATGTATGGCTTTGAAGGCTGGACCATATGGAAGACTGAGCGCCGAAGGACTGAGGCCTTTGAATTGTGGTGCTGGAGGAGACTCCTGCGAGTCCCTTGGACCGCAAGGTGATCAAACCGATCAGTCCTAGAGGAGATCAACCCAGACTGCTCTTTAGAAGGCCAGATACTGAAGATGAAACTCAAATACTTTGGCCACCTAATGAGCAGGAAGGACTCCCTGGAGAAGACCCTAATGGGGGGGAACAATAGATGGCAGAAGAAGGGGATGGCCGAGAATGAGGTGGCTAGATGGAGTCACTGAAGCAGTCGGCATGAGCTTACGTGGACTCCGGGGAACAGTGGATGACAGGAAGGCCAGGAGGAATGTTGTCCATGGGGTCGCAATGGGTCAGATGCAACTTTGTGACTAACATAAGTGATCTACCTGAGCATTTTATCTCGATCTTTTCTTGTAAAATCTTAATGTATTTTTCTATGGACTTGCTCCCTTTTTTCTTTTCCTTCACACTATATTTTTTTCTCTCTGCTTTGAACAAACTGTTTATTCTTACTCCAAAAAAATCTAAAAAAGGGGGGAGGTGAAAGAAACCCTCTTTGTTGCCTTCAGCTATGTCTCTTTTTTTTATCTGTTCTTATCCATATTTCTCCTTCCTTGTCTTCTTGGTGGCATCAAAGGCCCTCTTCTGCAGATGCATAAGGTGTGCGGCTGTTGGGTGGTATAAAAATGGAATAAATAAGGGGGGAGGGGGATAGTAGAGAGCTTTTATTCCAGCATTGTGCAAAACTGCAGTACACAAGGGGGCGAGGTCCCCAGCTGCTGCATTGATACCGGTCAATCCTGAACCTCAGCCCTACATAACTTGTGACCCAGCACCAGGAATCAGCAGGGCCTGGAAGATCAGGAAAGGAGGATGGCCTTGTAGAGTTAACACCCAGTCATAATCTCGCGAAGAATGCCGGGCTGCTGTTGGGCCAAAAGACTGCTGCTTTCTGCTGCTTTAAGGCTGGGCTGGCGCTTCTGCAGCCGATAGGTCCTGATCTGTGCACGCAGCTTCCAAGGGGTGTGTGGGAAGACTGCCAACTGCTGAAGTCAGATAAGTAGCTGTGGCCTCCAGCACATTTCTTGGCTGAGAGCCACGCCTGAGGCTGGGATAGAGAAGATAGGCCAGTGGGGGCCACGCTTTCTGGGAGGAGAGTCACTTCCAAAGCATGAGATGATGGCACGTGAGGAGGGTGCAAAGTCCATAGTACTCCCCACTTCCTTTTCTTCGCGCAAGCGGTTGTGTTACAAATCCCCACTACTACTTGCTGCTGATTGCTGTGCTATCCTTCAAAACAATCTCAAGGCGCAACGCCATGGTAGTGGCTCATAGGCACCTGGCTCAGCACAGTGCAAGTTGCAGCGGTGAGCTCTGGTACACGCCCCACATTTTCTCTAGATGGATGTTTTGGGCTGATGCTGGGAAGAGACAGGAAGTCAGCTGTGGCACTGACTGGAATCATAACTCCATGGCCCAGCATCCTGCCTTTCTGACCCCTGGCATGCCCCTTTTCCCCACTGTGAGGTCAAGTTCATGGCAGCTCAGAGCTGGGACTCCAAAGGATCCTGTGGCCTCAGGTGATGCCACAGACAGGACTGTGCACTCAGAGAGAAAAAGACAGGTGGGAACACCAGAAAAGCATTCAGGGTTAAGAGACAAAAAGGGGCAAATGCTCAGTAAAGGCGTTCCCTTGATTTAAAGTAGATGCATTTACTGTGAGTTACAAACCTACAGATTGTCAAAACCCAGCCTAGAGTAGCAGTAGAATTGGCCTGGCCTGGCCTTGTGCAATTGCTTTTGGAGCTAGGAATCTGCCGTATTCTCTGGCCTTGGCTTCCCGGATGCTGGCACGCTGGCCTACTTTCTCATCACTGAGTACGACTTCCTGGCAAGTGTGCCAAGCATTCACACAGGCACTGACCAGGAAGCCGGCTGTGCAAGCACCGTGCAAGCAGCATCCCTCTTCCATACACGTGACTTGTGACCTTTGTGCTGCAGAAGCAGGGTGCCAGTTGCACAACTGGCGTTCCATGAGTGCTTATGAACTTTCATTCATTCATTCATTCATTCATTCATTCATTCATTCATTCATTC